TCTGTATCCCCTCACGCCTGCCACCCTGAGGCCACCGGCCAGCGTTACTCCGTCAAGTGACAGCTAGGGCCAGGATGGCCAAAGCCCCACCCTGCTGGCCTTCCTCTGCCCATGCAGACTCCCTCCCAGGCACGACCCCCCTTCTCTCTGGCTGAGACCACGTCCTGCAGTGTGGGGTCACTTCCCAAGAGCCATCGGTCACTGCGGAGACTCCAGCGTGGGTCCTGGTCCTGCCTCCACCCTGTGACCCAGGGGAAGCTCCCGGTGTCCCAGGGCAGCTCTGTCGTCTGGAAGGCAGGACCAGGGCTCGCCATGTCCCGGGCCTCCAGCCCGGAGCGGGGTCTGGGCAGTTGCAGCTGCTGTCCTTGCAGGTCCTCCCATTCCCACTGAACCCCCACTCTCCCCGAGACTCCAGCTGAAGACGCTGTGCTCGGCCCCCAGGAGCACAGTGCCAAGGGGAGAGGTGCCCCTTCACGTTGTCGGCAGGGAGCCCCTCAGGCTGCTCCTGGCGCCCCAGCACCCGGACTCCTTCCCTTTGGGATATGCAAGGACTGCTCTGCGATGACCCCTCAGACCACCCTGGGAGGGCGGGGACACGACTCTTGCTAAATAAAATGGTGCTCCCCACTTGTCTCCTGCCGCCGTGAATTGGCTGAGTGCTCAGGCTTTGCCACTGGGCTGGCACGGGCCTGGTCCCTGGCACGGATGGGCGGGTGCCCTGGGGAGCCTCCCCGTGGGGGCCTCAGCTCGCTGTGCCGCGGGGACGGCCTCGCCCGCCTCCCAGGTGGCAGCGCAGGTGAGGTGCCTAGCAGTCTTCGGCACAGACGTGCCCAGCATCAGGTCACGGCCATTTCCGGCTCTGCTCGGACATCACAAACTCTGCTTTGAGAGGCTAACGCGGGCCTCCGTCCACGCTGAGACTCCTCTACCCGGATGCCGGTCCCCTGAGTGGGGCTGAGGCTGAGTGGCAAAGCAGGTCCATTCCTAAGTACGGACACGTGCTCGCCCTCCAGCTCTGCTCTCCCCTCGGCCCTGCCAGATGGGGGGGGGGTGAATGGGCCGGCGGCGGAGGCTGCTCTGTGCTGTTGGGGTGCTGGGCAGCCTCTCCGACCTCTCCCCACCAGATGACAGTGACACCCTCCCCCAAGATGGACAAGAACGTCCCCAGAAATTGCCAAATGTCCTTTTGTGAGAACAACACTGCTCATCCCCACTGAGAACCCCGCAAGGCCTGGGTGGCTGGGGGAAGGTGGGGTACACACGGAAGGAGGAAAGGAGGCCGTCAGTCACCCCTGAGCTGTCCCCGCCTCCCCGGAGTGCAGGTCACATGACTGGGAGGCAGCCCTTCCCGCGCTGAGTACTGCTTCTTTGACCTGACTGCACGGAGCCTCATTAATCTCCCATTAATCGCTTTAAGGATCAGTTGGCTTCCTCTCTCCTTCCCACCCATGCCAGCCCTGCCTAGGGCTTAGGGACAAGTCACGCCAAGGAACAAGGGGACCCACGTGCTGTGGTCTTCCAGTCCTTTCAGGAGCCCCGACTGCCCTGAGGCCCGGCCTCCAGGCCTCCAGGCCTCCCAGCCTCCAGGCTCCAGGCTCTGGCCTTCTCCACACCCTCTGCCCGCCCTGCCCCTCTCAGAAAGGCACAGCCAGCCCCACTTCCACGCCATCCAGGAGCGCAGAGGTCTCTGGAGTGCCTGCGGTGTGCCCGGCAGGGGCCCAGGGGTTGGGGACACGGCAGCCATCAGTAAAGACCTGGGTCGCAAGGTGCTTGCTCACCATCGGGGTGACCCCCGCGCGAGTGACAGAGAGGGCTGGTGACTTCTGCCTCCTAGGGACCCAGGCAGCCCGTCCTCCACACCACAGCCCAGGCGGCGCCCCTGGGAGACCAGGGACAGTCCCTGAGCGAACGCTCGCTTTAGGAGGGAGTGAGGAGAAGGGGGGTGTGTCTTGGGGGCTCCCAGGAATGACAAGTCTGCGCCCTGCATTGGGGCGGGTGGGGTTTGGAGGCGGCGGCGGCCCCGGGGGGGAGGGGGGAGAGGGAGCAGAGCGAAGGCGGACGCCCCTGTGCGGCAGGCGGCTCTGCCCAAGGTCCGGATCGATCCCCGTCACTCTGGCCGGCCGCTGTCTGCCGTCTCACACCTCTGGTGTTATCTCTGGACCTCTCTGATCGATTGCCCTGTCTGCAGCGGGCCGAGCGAGCGCTGCCTCCCTCCTCTGCTCTTTCACCTGGAATGCGTGGACGGCCCCACCCGGGCAGGAAGAGTGGCCGTGTGTGAGTAAGGGGTGTGGAGGGCTGTGCAGGAGAGGCAGGCAGGAGGGCCACATGAGGCTGGAGACAGGTGGCAACTTGGACCTCTTCCCAGACCCGCCACCCTGTCCCCTAGCCAGACTCCATCCCAGTACCTGGCTGCCTGCTCCCTGCCCTCCCAGAGCCCTGGAGGCCACCCTACCTGAGCCCCTTCCCCCCACCAGGGGGTCAGGAGGCTCCCTGCCTGGTTCCTCCCTGCCCCAGACCGCCCGGAGCCCCCCTGCCGGGTCCCTCCCTGCCCCAGACCCCCCCCCCCACCCGCAGGCCCAGTACCGGCTCCATGACGCAGCAGCTGCGGTCCCCGTTATCAGGCACCCCTGCAGGGTGAGGCAGCTCCATTTGTTTAAGGGTTAGTCCTGAGGGGCCCCAACCTCCATGACGTCAGCACTGGCCCTTATAAGGTGAGGGGTCCGGGCCACATCCCCAGCAGCCAGCTCCAACATGGCCCAGCCGGCCCGCGGCCTCCTTCGGTGCTGCCTCCTCTTCCTTTTAGCTTCTTGGGAGGCAGGTAAGATGCCCTCGGGGCCAAGGGTCACCATTCCACAGGGGAAAGAAGCCCGAGAGGGCTCACTCCTTGGGGGTGGACAGTAGAAATACACGAGGAGGTTGAGCAGGGGCTGCTGCGCGCAGCTGTCAGGTGGGCCCGGGGCAGGGGTGGGGACCTGAGTAGCTGAGCACCGCCTGCAGGGGAGAACACGGGAGCTCAGGGCCTTTGCCTCTTCCACATCCCCCAGGTGGGAAAGGACCTCATTTGATAGCGGGGAAGAGTGAGCCTCAGCGGGGCACGTCCGGTGTCACACAGCTGCAGGGGCAAGCAGGGAGGCTCCCTCCAGCACTGCCTGCTGCCCTGGTCGGGCAGGGCCAGCGTCCCTCCTGCTAGCTCTCCTCTGTGCAGAGCTGGGTTCTAGTCCCGGCTCTGACCCACGTCCCTGGCCTGGGCTTGCACACTGAAATGGGACGAGGCCACCAGCCAGGCCTGGGTGCTGTTTACAGAGCATCTACTATGGCCAGCGGCCAGCGTTGTTCTAGGTCCTTCTCCACCTTCGCTTATTTAATCCTCATGGCGACACAGCAGGTGTGAGCCACTTGTCCCCACCTTACCCCGGGAAACATCCCAGGGCCCCAGGGAGACGTGAATGTGAGAAGGTGTGGGAGCAGGGCCGACCCGCAGGTGCTCACTTAGTTAAGGGGCAGTTCTGTTACAGCTGCGGGGAGCAGGGGTGCCCAGTGCAGGGCAGGTGGAGGTGGCCGGGTGGTTGGAGGAATCTCCACAGGCAGACACGCAACCATGGATCCAGATACTGCGCCCTGGAGAGAGCCTCCAGGGCGATGGGCTCCGTGACAGCAAACAGGGCTGGACTGCCAGCCAGGCAGGGGGCAGCTCCTTCCGGACGTGCGAGGGTGACGGCAGAGGGCGCACTCCTGCCCTGAGCCGGCCTCACGGTGGGGCCAGCGGGGAAGGTCCAGGTGGGTGGTGAATGCCAGGGGCAGGGGCTGAGGAGGATCTCAGTGGGGGTCTCTGGTAGTCTCAGCAGTGCCTCTGTCCGAGCCCATCTCTCCACCTGGAGGGTTTGGCGACAGGCATCCGAGGTGCCCTCACCTCGCCGTTCATCCGCTGGGATCTCGCCTCTTCTGCTCCGGCTCAGGCGAAGTCCACCTGCTCCTACTGCCTTCTGTCTTGCTGCAGTGAGGAAGAGGAGCCTGCAGGGGGCAGAAGGGAGCAGGTCACAAATAGAGGATGTGCCTTGCTTCTGAGGGAGGTGTGCTTCGCGGGCAGAGGGCAGGTGCAGGTCGGACTCTACATGCCAATGCCCAAACGGGGCTCTGCAGGTGTGGTCTGGGAGACTGGCAGGATGGCAGGATGGGGAGAGGAGCTGGATTTCAGAGTCTGCAGAGGGAGTGATAGAAGGGGAGGGCTTGCGGCTGCGTTTGGCTTTGGATGGGGTCAGGGTCAGAGGGGGACCGGAGTGTGGGTCGGGGCGGGGCTCATGGCTGCGTCCCCTAGTGAGCCAGGATAGCGAGGGAAGAGGCCGCCTGGGTGCGCGAAGCCCACTAGCCCACAGTTCTGGGGTATCTCCGTCCTTCATCCACAGAGCCAGTCGACACGCAGGCTCAGACAGCAGATCCGGACCCCTAGGCCTGCATCCTGTGGGGGCAAGTCCAGAGAGTCCAGATTAGGCCCTGTCTGAGGGACGCACAGCGGGCTAGGAGATGGGACTCGGGCGGGTCCCAGGGAGAACCTGCAACAGATTTCATTCGATTTCATTTCTGTGACAAAGATAATATTCGCTCATGATAGGAAATGGAAAAAGGAATAAGTTGCAAAGAACGATAAAGCCTCTCCAGCGACTCTGCAGCCTCCAGGCGGTCCTTTGCCTATGTCCCCTTGGTCATCCTTCTCTGCGGCTGTTGTCACACATGGAGCTCCCACGGCAGAGACTTCTTTTTTCTAAAAAGGTTTTTCCCATAAGGCATATGTGCTCGCTGGAGAGAGAGGGACAGAGACAGGGGGAGGAAAGGTGAAAAATCACCCCCTAGGGGGGATGGTCACGCTGAAGTCCCTTCTCCATTCTCCTCCTGAGATCTTGAGCATGCACGCACACCGGGTGTGATTTTCTTTTTCTTCTTTTTAAAAAAATTTGTTTTTAGTTAATTTACATCTATTCACTGAGCATTGTCACAGCATACAAAATGTGATTTCCCATCCAGAATATGCTGCATAGTGGCTTCATCATACATGTTAGCATCAATAATTTCCCATTTCTAGTTTCATATATATACATATATATTTTTTCCACCTATTTCTTCCCCTCTGCCATTCCCCACCCTCCTCCCACACTATCTCAGGTGTCCACAGTTGTTTTCCATTCCTTTTATTTCCCACATTGTATTGATTCACAAAATTTCTTAAATAATCTGACTACTTTCAATAGCAAGCTCTGCTGATATATACATATCTGTGAATACATATCTGACTTGAGGCATGAAACTCTGAGTAGAATGAATATGCTATAAGGTAGCACCCAGCTGATGCTATATAGTTTACTACAGTCATTAATTACGTATCTTTTACTATATTTTTAAATTTCAAGATAAGCAAATTCAGCTCTAATAAATCAAAGAAATGTTAAGGAACTATGCTTAAAACTTAAAGCCAGGAAACAGGTTGGGATTCTGCTCAAATAGTAGGTACATGAACCTATCACCATTTCAAGACAAGACTAAAATCCTTAAAACTAGAAAACAAAGCCTAGAAGAAAACCAGCAAATTGGGACCAGCAGTTGCCGTAATGGCTATGTTGTTGGACTCCCATGTAGTTGGCCGTGGTTTGAGTCCTGGTGGTTTAAACTCATGCTGGGCACATGGGCGTGCGTGCCCAAAATCCTGAGAGGAGAATGGAGGAGAAGGGATTGTGGTGTGGTCATCCCCCCTGGGGGGTGATTTCTCGCTTCTGTCTCTCTCTGTCTTTCTGTCGAGTGCACGCGCTCTATAGCAAAAACCTCTCAAAAAAAGAAAAAAAAATCAGCAATGTTTTAGTCAAAAGTCATAAAATACTATTTTACCAGTTCAGTCTCGTGCACTTAATCTACCTTCTGTTGTTGCTTGATTTTCCCAATTAAATTCTGGGATATAATATGCAACTCTAGACTTGTCCCCAAGATTAAGTTGGCCATTGTCTTAGTTTTTGAACTCTGATTTCTGTGTGACTGTATATAAATTTCCTGGTATAGCACTCCTTGCAGAACTTCTTGGAGAGCTGGTCTGGTGCTGGTAAATTCTCAGGTTTTGTTTATCTGAGAATGTTCGTGTCTTGTCTTCCCATATGAAGGATAATCTTGCCGGGTACAGTATTCTTGGTTGTTCCCTTAATACTTTGAATATATTTTCCCATTCTTTCCTCCCTCGCATTGTTTCTGATGAGAGGTCTGCCGTTAGTCTGATGGGATACCCTTTGTAGGTAACTTGCCGTTTTTCTCTTGCCAGTCTTAGTATCCTGTCTTTGTCTGTGGTTTTGGTCAATCTGGCTATAATGTGTCTTAGAGAAGATCTTCTTGGGTTGATTCTATTTGGGGTCCTTTGTATTTCTTGTAACTGGGTCTTTGAATGCCTCTCTAGGTTTGGAAAGTTTTCTTGCAGGAGTTCATGGAATAGATCGTCAATGCCCTTATGGATCTCTTCACCTTCTGGGATACTAATTATCCAAATGTTTGGATGTTTGATGGTATCTGGTATTTCTCGTATAGTGTTCTCATATTTTTGGGCAATCTTCTCAGTCTTAGTGGTGGGTTTTTCTAGGCCAGCAATTTTCTCTTCTACATCTGAGATTCTATTTTCTGTATGATCTAGTCTGCTTTTAATACTTTCAAGGGAAATTTTGACTTCTTGTATTATAGCCTTCATCTCGGTCCATGTGATTCTTTTTATAGTGTGTAATTCCTCTTCTAGATCTTGCAGGAATTTCCTCACCTCCCAAAGCTCATCAGCTCCTTTCCCCTGCCTCTTTGTCAGTTTATGGTCTCTCTTCTCTTCAATCTCTGTGAGCTTTGTCACCATGAAAACTTTAAATTCTTCATCTGATGTTTTCATGAATTTTATCATACTATCTGAGGATGAAGAGGCGTTATTATTTTTCCTTGGAGGAGAGTGCTTTTCTTGGCTTTCCCATATTTCTTGTGACCCCGTGGTGATTTTTAGTTATCTGATGGGTGGTGTGTTTCTTCTAATTCTTGAAGTGCAGTCTGAGTGTTCAGAGGCGGGCAGGAGGAGGTGATTTCAGTCTCTCTTCCATTCCGTTCTCACTCTGTGCATCAGAATCAGTGGGAATAGAGGAAAATTCTGACTCTAATCATATTTGGATGTTTAGATCCTGTTCACTTGGACCTGTCTAGACACAGTCTGTAGGAGTAGAAATAAGTGAGGAAGAAACCTCAGCAGAAAAATCTTCATTTCAAGTCTCTGAAAGCACTAGTTCACAGCCAAAGTTTAGGATTCATGTCCCTGGCATGATTTTCAATCCACTGGGTCCAGGACCCGAACCACGGCTGGCCATGTGAGAGTCCAGTGATGTAACCACTAGACCGTCTGCTGGCCCCTGTACAGACATTTTAACAAGCACTTGCCCACATTATTGCAAATGGGGAGTAAGCCATGGGGGAGGACAGGACTCCCCAAACACCAGGAATGGGTACATGGTGCTGACAGAGACGCCAAAGTGTGAGCCACTTGGCAGGATTTCAAACAGGTGGACGAAACAAGTGCAAGAGACCTCCGGTCGCTGCCGTGGGACTTGTTTTCGCTCTGTTACCGAGACTGAGAAACCACTTACAGTCTCTAGTGCTAATGTCGGATTTTCCTCTGTTCACTCTGCCTGTACTTTAGTGACCAGATAGTTCTTTTACTACAGGAAGTAAAATAAGTAGCCCCTGGCAAGAACCTCCTCGGGAAACACAGTCGCTCCCAGTAGTAGAGCTAATGGGGAGGGGAGGCGGCCACCTCGTCTTGGGGCTTAGTTGCTAACTCACCTCCTGGCTGGGCTCAGGCCACGAGTCCTTTCAGCATCGACTCCAGATTGTACAGTCTGTGGTTCCACAGGGGTTTGATGCACATCTGAAATTCTGAGATGTATTAATAATTATTTGAGGGACCCAGCAGTTACCATAATGGCTATGTCGCTGGACTCCCATGTAGTTGACCATGGTTCAAGTCCTGCACCCAGTGGCATGTGCGTGTGTGCCAAAGATCCCGAGAGGAGAATGGAGGAGAAGGGATTATGTTGTGGCCTCCCCCCGCCCCGGGGGGTGATTTCTCGCTTTCTGGGGATGGTCACGCCACAATCCCTTCTCCTCCATTCTCCTCTCGGGATCTTGGGCACGCAGGCACACACGCCCGGCGTGAGTTTTAAGCCACTGGGTCCAGGATGCGAACCACGGTCGACTACGTGGGAGTCCAGCGACATAGCCATTACGCTAACTGCTGGTTCCCTGTCTGTCTTTTTGACGAGTGCACGCGCCCTATAGCAAAAACCTCTCCAAAAAAAAGAAAAGAAAAAGAAATAGTTATCTGATAGGAATGGAAGCTGGGGTGGTGGTTAAGGTGTTGGACACTCCCACATGGTTGACCACAATTCAAGTCCTGGACCTGGTAGCTTATTTTCTCACTTTCCCTCTCTTTCTCTCTCTCTGTGTGTGTGTCTTTCTCTGGTCAAATTAAAATCAATAAGTGAATGAATAAATAAAATAAAATAAGCAGTTCTCTGGGTCTGTTGACCGTGGTCCTGTGGTTAAATGACACGGGCATCTCAGAGCTGGCAGGCCAGAGGCCTTCCTTCCACATCCTTTTATCTCAAAGGCTCAGTTACCCAACGCAGAAGGTACTCCTTAGTCTTCCCACCTTCGGGGGTCACATTTCCTTTTCTTTTTTAGTTATATAATAAAAGGTTGTGGCCAAGGTCTCTAAAAAAGTTTTCATCAGCCTTAAAGATTTTTTTCTTTTCTCTTTTTTGTAAGAGAGATTTTTGCTTTAGGGTGTGTGGGAAGACTGGAGAGACAGAGAGACTGCGAGCAGTGACAAATGCCCAGTGACATAACCATTATGCCACCTGCTGGTCCCCTTATTTTTTTGGAGAAGTTTTTGCTGTAGGGCACATGCTCTCACCAGAAAGACGAAGAGAGACAGAGGGACAGAAAGCGAGAAATCATACCCCAGGGGGGCATGGCCATGTCACAATCCCTTCTCGAGATTTTGGGCATGCATGTGCATGTGCCTGGTGTGAGTTTTAAGCTGCCGGGTCCGGGATTCGAAATGCTATCGACCATGTTGGAGTCCAGCGTCACAACCACTATGCCTAAAGTACTTACTGTTCTAGGCTGGAGACATAACAATGAACAAAATAAATAAAAATCCCTGCCATGGTGGAAATTAAACTGCAGCTATTGTATATTAGAAACAACGAGTGCTTGGGACCAGCAGTTAGCATAATGGCTATGTCGCTGGACTCCCACGTAATCGACTGTGGTTCGAGTCCCAGACCCGGAGGCTTAAACTCACGCCGGGTGCGTGTGCGTGCGTGCCCAAGATCCCGAGAGGAGAATGGAGGAGAAGGGATTGCGGCCTGACCATCCCCCCCGGGGGGTGCTTTCTCGCTTTCTGTCTCTCTGTCTCTCTCTGTCTGTCTGGCGAGTGCATGCGCCCTATAGCAAAAACCTCTCCAAAAAAAAAAAAAAAAAAGAAAGAAAAAAGAAAGAAGGAAACAATGAGTGCTGTGTGGACAAAATGCAGCAGAAGTGGCCCAGGAATACAGGAGGCTGCCAGTTTGAAGAGGGTCATCACGGTAGGTCTCGAGGTGGACGGAGCAGGTGACACAGGTGACAGCAGCAGGGGGGCCCGGCCACGGGCTCAGGCTCCCCTCACAATCAAGAGAAGGAAAGGGCGAAGCACGAGATGGTTGCAAAGACTGCGATTCGGGTTTGACACTTTGAAGAGTGTTCGACGCTCCGTACTTACCCTCGACGCAATCGACATCATTCGTTCACCGTGGAGTACAGGCCTTGGGGTACTTAAGTGACCTGGGAATGCAAACCTGGTGAGGGACAGAGCTGGAACTCAAACACCGTCTTCTAATTTTTTTGTTTTGAAGGATTTTATTTACTGGGGCCAGCAGGCGGCATGGTGACTGGGGCACTGGACTCCCACATGGCTGACCATGGTTCAAGCCCTAGACCTGGCAGCTTTCTCTCTCTCTCTCTTTCTCTCTCTGTCTCTCTCTGGTGAGTGTATGTGTCCTTGCAGATTAAAAAATAATAATGATAAATAAAATGAAATAAAGAATGACTTTCAAATTTTATTTATTTAAATTACCAGAAGACACATGTGCTTGCTAGTGAGACAGGGAGAAAGAAGGAAAGCACCCCAGCACCCCTCATCATGGGGAATGATCATCCTTCTCTCTCTCTCTCTCTCTCTGGTCAAATTAAAAAATAATAATAACAAATGGAATTAAGTAAATAAATCTCTTTTCCTCCATTTCTCCATCCTGCTGGGATTTGGGGCGCACACACACGTTCCAGGCCATTTTCGTTGTTTGTGTGTGTGTGTGTGTGTGTGTGTGTGTGTGTGTGTTTGAGAGGTTTTGGCTATAGCGCATGTGCGCTTGCCAGAAAGACAGAGAGACAGAAAGCGAGAAATCACCCCCCAGGGGGGGATGGCCACGCCGCAATCCCTTCTCCTCCATTCTCCTCTTGGGATCTTGGACACGCATGCACACGCGCCCAGCGTGAGTTTAAGCCACGGGGTCCGGGACTCGAACCGTGATCAACTACATGGGAGTCCAGCGACATAGCCATTACGCTAATTGCTGGTCCCAGTACTTCTTATTTTGTTGTTTTGTTTTTGCTATAGGGCACTTGTGCTCACAAGTGAAATGGCCATACCACAGTCCCTTCTCCAGTCTCTTCTCAGGAGTTGGGGCACACGTGTCTACACACCCAGCATGTTTTTTAAGACTCGGGGTTCAGAACTCGAATGGCTCAGTCGGTCATGTGGGATCCGGCGCCTTCACCACCACAGCACCGATGGCCCTATTACTGGTATTTCTGCTGAGGGGATTGAGAACAGCATTGGCATAGCGAAGTAAAGGTCTGCTCATTCAACCCTCCTCTGACCCCTGGCCTCGACTCTCAGGAGGGACTTGGGCTTCTCTCTCATCCTCACCGCTTCTTGTCACACTTCTATTTCTTTCAAGGACTGGGTTCCCCAGCCCCAAATTCTCCTGTAAACAGTGGAGTGGGTGGATTGTGTTTTCCTGTGGTTGGGAATTGGTCCAGGTTCTGGTTGCCACCTTGAGCTAACAAGAGACTGGAAATATTAGTTACGTAACAACACTATCTCTCTCATTCTTTGGTGATCTCTTGGCTCTCACTCTCCAGGCTGGATATCAGAGACATCTCTTCTGGTTGTTTTTCATGGAATTAAGGCCCATATCTGCCCATTGATAGGGGTGTTTCCTTTCACACCCTGTCCTTAAACATAGTCAGTCCCTCCCAGAATCTAGCTGCCTCGTTCACCCCTGTCAGGACCCCAGGTAGATATCTTTTTCTTTAAGGAGGGCCACCTTCATCAATCCTCAGATGACTTCAAACGTGTGAATAGTGGGACCAGTAGGGGCACTGAGTCATCTCATCTATTCCCTATATATAGACTGAACATGCCCCGAGTGAGTTTCCAGCTCCCTACTCTACCCAGCCGCCATTTCTCTTCTTACAGCTCTCCCACCCACAGCCGTGCCTCCACGCTCACGCTATGGAAATTAGCCAGGGGTCTTACCTTGGACCTTCACACTGACGTTTCAGATGGAGCTGGGGTGTTAGAGAAAGATGGAGATTCTGATACCGATTCATTCCCTTTCCTCCCGGCTCGGCCAGGGAAAATGGATTCCACCCCATATGCACATGAAGTCTAAAGAGCACCTGTGTAGCGAGGTGCCAGTCAATCCCTGCACCCCAAACCTTACAGCTTGGCAGGCGGGCATGGCAGAGAGTGGATGGGCGTACAAACAGCCTGTAGTTTTAAGTGGAAGGTAACAAGAGAGTAATTCACAAGACTGTTTTGAACACGAAGATGAACTAGATCTTGTTAGGCCTTGTCCATTCGCCGGAACTAGGAAAGATGCCATGAAGTCAGAAGAACCTGAGACTGGATGTTGAGGAGTGAATCTGGAAAGGGGGGGTGGGACAGGATCCTTGCTGAAGGCACAGCGTGAGCGAAGAGCCAAGGTTGCAGTGGGGGAGGGTTCCAATATTAAAGTATTTGAGGAGACCGGCTGGGGAGACACGTCCTAAAGACAAAGGGAACCTTAAAGATGAAGGCAGGCAGGAGGCAGGGCAGAACGTGGAGGGTTTCTTACGTGCCTCTCTCCCTCCGCAGGTGCTACGACATTGCAGGAACTTCAGAAAACTGCCAGATCGCCCCCGTCTGCTCATGTATGGCCGCGTACTCCAGGCCTTGGTTATAGCATTCCCTCTGACCACACCGCTCTGTACTCAGGGCAAAGACTGTCAGACCGCCCTAGAGCTGCAGAGACCCAGAGGCCAATGCACCACTGCAACACCACACGCCGTTCCACGCCAGTTCACAAACTTACAGACAGCTCCAAAACTACAGGCCTCCAAAACTCTACAGCTCATCATGAAGCTCCTCCCTCGTCTGAGCCAAACCCCAGCGATCATGAGAAAGATCCGAACATCCGGAATGAACGTTCTATCTCTCGTGATGACTCTACAAACACAGGTCAAAAACATTCAACCTTAGCACCCAGGAGCAAAACAACTTGTCATAAGAGCACAACAAAGAAACCAGGGGTCACAGGAAACTCAGTGGGAACTCCAGCACCTTTGGACAAGATCACCACTACTTCAGATAAAAAAAGTACCACCTCACATAAGATCACAGTTTCTTCCTACAACTCAGTCAGTTCAGAGAGCAACGCAAAGACCACACTCTCCTCAGAAAAAACCAGAACAACCGTAAGAACGTCATATACGAGAAATACCCAAGACGCTGAAGATGACGCAACCGCAGTTTCCTCAGACAAGCCCCTAACCAGGACTACAAAAGCCATGAAAGAGAGCACATCAGCCAATGAGAAGAGCACAGCCACCCAAGGAAAGCCTACAGAGAACAAAGGAAAAACCACATTGGACAACAGGAATACCACAAGAGCCCCAGTGAAATCTACAGGACACCCAGAGAAGACAACATCAAGCAATGAGAAGAGCTCAGGAGACTTGGCAGAAACTACAGAACACGGACAACAGATGACATCAGTCCATAAGACCACGAGATCCCAAGCAAGTCCTAGCCAGCATGGAGAAGAGACCACACTGACCTCTGAGAAGACCACACTGTCCCCAGTGACATCTGTAAAACACCCAGAAAAGACGACATCAAACAGTGGGAGAAGCACAGGAGCCCTGGAACATCCTACCCAGCATGGAGAAAAGACCACACTGACCTCTGAGAAGACCGTACTGTCCCCAGTGACATCCGTAGAACACCCAGAAAAGACAACATCAAACAATGAGAGAAGCACAGGAGCCCTGGAACGTCCTACCCAGCATGGAGAAAACACTACACTGACCTCTGAGAAGACTGCACTATCCCCAGTGACATCTGTAGAACACCTAGAAAAGACAACATCAAACAACGAGAGAAGCACAGGAGCCCTAGTAAGTCCTACCCAGCATGGAGAAGACACCACACTGACTTCTGAGAAGACCGCACTATCCCCAGTGACATCCATAGAACACCCAGAAAAGACAACATCAAACAATGAGAGAAGCACAAGAGCCCTGGAACATCCTACCCAGCATGGAGAAGACACCACACTGACCTCTGAGAAGACTGCACTATCCCAAGTGACATCCGTAGAACACCCTGAAAAGATAACATCAAACAATGAGAGAAGCACAGGAGCCCTGGCAAGTCCTACCCAGCATGGAGAAGACACCACACTGACCTCTGAGAAGACTGCACTATCCCAAGTGACATCCGTAGAACACCCAGAAAAGACGACATCAAACAGTGAGAGAAGCACAGGATCCCTAGTAAGTCCTACCCAGCATGGAGAAAACACCACACTGATCTCTGAGAAGCCCACACCATCCCCAGTGACATCCGTAGAACACCTAGAAAAGATAACATCAAACAATGAGAGAAGCATAGGAGCCTTAGTAAGTCCTACCCAGCATGGAGAAAACATCACACTGACCTCTGAGAAGACTGCACTGTCCCCAGTGACATCTGTAGAACACCTCGAAAAGACAACATCAAACAATGAGAGAAGCACAGGAGCCCTAGTAAGTCCTACCCAGCATGGAGAAAAGACCACACTGATCTCTGAGAAGACCACACTGTCCCCAGTGACATATCCAGAACATGATGTAAGGACCTCATTGGATCATGAGAAGACCTCGAGGGCCCCAGGAAAATCTACAGGACACTCAGAGAAGACCACGTCGGACAACTGGACAATCTCGAGAGCTGTAGGAAAAACTACAGAACGTGAAGAAAAGACCATGTCAGCCTACAAGATGACACGAATCCCAGCAATGTCCACAGGACACCTAGGAAACACCACCCTGACTACTGAGAAAACCATACGAGCTTCAGAAAAGTCTACACTATACCCAACGAAGACCACGTTTGTCAAAGAGAAAACCATCCCAGCCCTGCCAAAGCCTACAGACAACCCAGAAAAGACCACAGACATCACAAAGTCCACGAGGCTTCCAGTCAAGGTCACAGGAGAACAATCTATCACTAATACCTCTCCTCATCCAAATGAAAGCACATCTAGAATGGCACTGAGCTCCATCATGTCAGAAGCCCCAGGCAACAAGAGCCATTCATACCAGAATAAAGATGGCTCCCAGGGAGGTCTTCGTGGAAGCGAGGTGGAGGGCAGTGATTCATTCCCTCCATGGGCCATAGTCATTGTGGTCCTGGTGGCTGTGATTCTCCTCCTGGTATTCCTTGGCCTGATCTTCTTGGTAAGGGACAGAAGTGCCCCAAAGAAATGAACCCAGATAGGAAACTGAGGCAAGGTTAGGAGTCAGAGTTATATAATAATGAGTCTAGGGGAAAAAAAGACATGGAGGGTTGGGGGAAAGGTGGTTGTAATAAAGGGGTAGTGGTGGCGAAACTGAGGGAAAGATAATAGATGCCTGGGGTGTGAAGAACTGAATTGGGAGGAGGCTCTGACTGAGGGAATACAACATTTCGGAGAAGAGTCTGGAGAGTGCTAATGGGCCCTGTAAGTACACAAGGGTAGGACACAAGAGGGTACTGGAGCTGGAATCTGGGACTCCATGTATTAGGCCTGGGTCTAGAATACGGATCGAATCTGGGATGGACTCTTGGCAAAAGAGCAAACGGAAGTCCGGTATCGGAGGGCCAGAAGCAAGGGCCTGAGGTAAGACACGGCAGATGGTTCTCATTCCTCCTTTCTTGTCTCAATAACAGGTCTCCTACCTGACTCGGACACGCCGTGCACTGACCCAGAACACCGAGGACGATGACCCAGCAGATGACGCAGGCCCCAATTCCTACCCCGTCTACCTGATGGAACAGCAGACTCTCGGCATGGGCCAGATCCCTTCCCCTCGATGACCTAGCTCGTCCATGCTTTACAACCCTCCCCCGGATGAGGAATTAAACCCCGAGTCCTATTTCCTGTTCCTCAGGAAGGGCAGAGAACCTGACAGTTAACTGCATTGACCATCTGTCTGTTCTTCATTGAAATGGCTGGGGACTGAGGTGATGAGCAAGAAGGTTGGAAGTTTGGGGGATAAAGAGAAAGAGAGATAAAGAGAGAGAGAGAGAGAGAGTGTTTTCTGTAGAAAACCATGGTCTGAGAAGGAAACGGCGCTGGATGGGGACCAGTATAGGACGCTGAGGCCTGGAAGGGGCACAGCTAAGGGAAGCACCTGAGATGCCAACGCCCCAGACTGGCCTGTGAAGGGGATGTGGAGAGATGGGCACTGGTTTCAATGTATTACTTCCATGGTTGCTTAGACCGCGTGTGTACACAGGTTCCCCTCTGAGTTCCCGAGGTCCTCGCCCCCCCACCCTTTTGTTAATGAAAGAAATAGAATCTACTAAGGAAAAGAATTTTCTTCTCCACCCTCTCTATTGCCCAGTGCAAGAAAAATTCCAGAAAAGATCATAACTCTCACTCAGATGGTCGCTCCCTCTTCCTCCTGAATCCCTTAGTCTTTCTAGGTGTCCAGTGGGCATCCTGCCGGTTGGGCTTGCTGGGCTGTGGGGGACACACAGCGAGGGGATTTTTGTCCGGCCTGCAGTCTCCTCCACTGATCCGCATCCCAGACCTTCCATGATGGTGTCCTCTGCCAGTATTTATTTTCTTGTCTCTTCCAGAGAAAGCCTGTCCCGGCTTTATCTTGTGAGTCACCCACTTCTCCACGCCTCTCTCGTCTTTCCTCACGCCTTCACCCAGTTTCTGATTTCCCTCCTTGTAGGCATTCTGTCTGTGCTGTCTGGATTTTCTCTCCAACTTACTACATAGTAGTCTTTTCACAACTACCGACTGGGCAGAGGGGAGAAGGGGAGTGGACGGACGGCAGGGAGTCTCCTATGGCCTTTCATAACAGTGTGAAGGAGGAACAGCACAGTCCCAGGACTGCTGGGGGGGAGTCCTGATTAGTGTGTCCGGTCCCGGCTGTCGCCTAATAGCGAACCCTGAGCAGCAGGGCCTGGAGACAGAACAGGAATTCTTTGGAGGGTCCAGGAACCGGAGGCTGGATTTCTGTTGCTGCTAAAATGGCTCATTTCTGGATGTAGGAATGAGCCAGCCTCAGCTCGTGCTGGGTTTACTTATTTGAAGATGAAATGAGGAGAGATTTTGCCAACTAATAAGCAAATCTTTTAAAGCACCCATTGTACGCTGTTGAGGATATAAAGAAGTATAAAATGCAATTCCCACCTGGACATAAATATGGGAAAATTAAAATGAAATGGTTCGGGGGCCAAACCGTGGCACAGTGGTCAAATGCAGTGCTCTTGTGAGGTTGAAGGTTTCAAGTTCGCGTCCAGAAACTTCTAGACATGCAGACACCAGGGCTGGCGGAGGCTGGGGTGGGTCAGTGTTAAGACTCTGTTGAAGGTGCTGTCTCTGCCTCTCTCACTCATGGAAGAAATAAATCGTTTTTACAAATTTGAAGAATTCAACAAGAGTTGTCGCAAGATAGTACTACACAAAATGAAACAACGCCCTAGTTAATGACATCCGAGATGTTTGGGAATCTACCACGCTCCGTACTGCCCTTAGCACACCGGTGCTGCTCTGGGCCATGCATGCCCCAGCGGCCTTCCCCGCAGAACCTGCCCGCCACACACACAGCTTTGGCTTTTGCGGGAGGAGGATGGCATTGTCCCTGACGAGAAAGACCCTCCTGTTAGCTACAGACCCCAGGTCAGGATTCCCACTGGGGGAAAGCCAGAAGTGTGTCATGGTCGTAATCCTAACCCTAATTCCAAAGTCACTAAAGGACCAGGCCCAGCTCTGAGCTGGGAGGTCTCCCAGTTCTGAGGGACTCTGGACCTAAGACCTGCTCTACCAAGTGCACATTTAAAACTTCCGGTCCTAGAAAGGAGTCATACCAGGTGCCAGAGGTCCCAGGAGAAAGCCCGAGGGAGGGGCAGGAGCCTGCAGGAGAAAGAGGAAGAGAGATGCGGGATTGTAGCGAACAGCCGGGCTGCAGATCAGCAGGTGGGAGCTGCCAGGACGAGAGCCCTGACCCTCCTGTTAGCTACAGACCCCAGGTCAGGATTCCCACTGGGGGAAAGCCAGAAGTGTGTCATGGTCGTAATCCTAACCCTAATTCCAAAGTCACTAAAGGACCAGGCCCAGCTCTGAGCTGGGAGGTCTCCCAGTTCTGAGGGACTCTGGACCTAAGACCTGCTCTACCAAGTGCACATTTAAAACTTCCGGTCCTAGAAAGGAGTCATACCAGGTGCCAGAGGTCCCAGGAGAAAGCCCGAGGGAGGGGCAGGAGCCTGCAGGAGAAAGAGGAAGAGAGATGCGGGATTGTAGCGAACAGCCGGGCTGCAGATCAGCAGGTGGGAGCTGCCAGGACGAGAGCCCTGGAGAGGTGGGGGTTGGCAGGGAATTCGGAGACCCCCTAACCTCAGCCTGTAGCCGCTGAATTTCCCCAGCCAGGATCCCAATTTTTAAAACAAAAGGAAGTAAAATCCTAGAATACTAAGCATCCCTGCCCACAGACCCCACCCTGCCAGGCCCCAGAGCGGAGCACCGGGAGTCTTCTTCCGGCTGCTGCGCGGTGCGCCCTGGGGCGCAGACGGCTCCTTGCCCGCTTCCCTCCCGCCTCTTCCCGGGTAATTACCACTTTACAACCCCGGGGAAATCCTTTAACAAGCCCTGGGCCGGCCCTCTTTAGGGATAATTACTTAATGAATAGGAGGGAGGGATCGCTCCCTCCTCACCCACAAGTCGCCCGTCGCCCCCTGGGGAGGCCACGCGCTGGGGAGCCAGGGCCAAAGATCCGGAGCCCTGCGCGAGTGAGGGCGCCGAGGTTGCTGTCCTTCGAGGGGAGGGGACGCGAGCAGCGAGGCTCTGGGACCCCCGAGGCTGCCGCCCTCCCTCTGTCCCTCCAAGTCCCCATTCTCTCTCCACAAGAGAGAGGATTAGTGGCTCCGCGTCTGCACCAGCGCCGCCGCCCTGGCAGCGTTTGGGGTCCCAGGCCAACGGGAGCGCCCGGCCAGCTCCAGCCAGTCTCCTCTGCGGGGGTTGCACGCCCAGTCCTACCCTCACCGCCAGGGCTCCCCCGGTGATAGCTCCTGGCTGGCAGGCCTGGGCTTCAAGTCCACCGCATGTCAGGATATGAAAACTAGCAAGCGTGGCGCCGGCAGGTGGCGGTGGGTGATAATCTGGACTCCCACATGGCCGACAGCGGTTCGAGCTCCAGATCTGGCGGCTTGCTTTCTCACTTTCTGTCTCTGTCTCTCTCTGGTGATGTGCCCTATACCAAATTAAAAAAAAGTCATATAGGGGGGCCGTGAGATGATGTAATAATTACATCGCTGGACCCCCACATAGTTAACCCCAGTTCAATTCCTGGACCCAGCAGCTTAAAACTCACACCAAGGTGCCTTTGTGTGGGTGCCCAAGATCCAAAGAGGAGAATGGGGGAGACAGGATTGTGGCTTGCCCACCCCCGGGGGCGGGGAGGGGGCGGTATCTCTTTCTGTCTCTCTGTCTCTATCTTTCCTGCCAGTGCATGCACACTATAGCAGAAATCTCTCTAAAATAATAATAACAAATAAAATAAATAATTCTAAAAATAACCCTAGCAAAGGTTTTGTGCTTTCACAGGAGCATACAGCAACCCACTCTGCACCCCGCGAGTTCCTTCTTTCTAGATTGAAAACAAAATTTTTTTTGAGAGGTTTTTGCTATAGGGTGTGTGTGCTCACCAGAAAGACAGAGAGATAGACAGAAAGTGAGAATCGTCCCCCAGGGGGGACGGCCATGCCGCAATCCCTTCTCCTCCGTTCTCCTCTCGGGATCTTGGGCATGCACACGCGCCCGTTGTGAACTTAAACAATCAGGTCTGGGACTGGAACCGCGGTCGACTACATGGAAGTCCAGCGACATAGCCATTACACTAACTGCTAGTCCCTCTAGATTGTTTTATAGACGGAAAACCTGAGGCTCAGAGAAGTGCCTGTTCACATCCACTGGGCTCCAACAGAATAGCACTGTTTGTTTTCTACAAGACTCAGTTTCACTTTGTTCCAGAGTGGAGCCAGGGTCCGGTAACCCACACTGGGTGAGTGGGATGCCACGGGGACCAGAGGACGGAGAGGCTCGTGCTGGATGGTGCCTGGCCCCTTCCTCGAGTCCGGTTTGCTCTTTCAGCCTTGAACTTGTGGCCTTCTTCTGGCCTCAGGGTTAGTAGCGGGTCAGGGTTTGTCCTGCCCGCCTCTGTCGCCCCCTGAAGCTCCTTAGGGGCCTCAGTCACGGTCTCCCCAGCTTCCCCTCACATGCCCAGTCCCCAGCTGCAGCCGGCCCTGGAGAGTGAGGACTGGGCGGTAGGGGAGTCAGTGATCTGGGACCCGGCCTCCCTCCTTGTTCTCCTCTGTCCCAAGGGCCTCCCTCTGGGAATGAGACCTCTCCAGGGAAAACAGGCTTCTGTTGACCTCTTCCCCATGGGGAGTCTCCAGCAGGTCTGCCCTCCTGTCCTCTCCCTCTCCCAGGTCACCTCCCCCCTGCCCCACATTGTTGGGGAATCAGCCTTTCTGGAGAGGGAGGGCCCAGAAGTTAGGACCTCCTCTGTCCGGTAGCAGCTATCAATGCCGGGGACAAGTGAGGGAAATGCAGTCACCCGAGTGGTGGGAACGACTCTGTGGAACCCAGGAGACCAGCTGCCCCAGTCCCCGGCTCCCTGGACCCTGGGCCCTCTCCCAGCTGAGCCATCTGCTCCCAGATCCCTGCAACGGGCAAGCTTCTGACTTCCTGTGGCTTCGCGTCCCCTGAGGTGCCAGGCCCTGACCCACTTCTGCAGCCCATCTCTGCCCCAGAACCAGGCACTCGAGGCCGTGGCTTCCCGGCGGATTATTTAGGGTTAGGA